CGTGTTTGTACTATAAACCGTGCTTTGAATGAGGGCTTAAATCTGTTCGTTTTCTAATGTGAAAGGAATGTTGGCACGGCTAGAGAGAAAAAGAAACCCTTTTAAAAATCTTCCTGCATGAAGAAAGAAACTTTTTCTCCGCAGTAAATGTGATGTGAGTAGAACAGAAGGACTAATTGTTTTCCTCTTGTTCTGGCACATATGTTGTGAATCAGGTGTGACCATATTTAACTGCAGCATCTATTCAAATTGGTAGCAAATAATTAAGCACTAAATAATAGTTTTACTTGGGAAGGAACTTTTGTACAGCCCTTGCTGTAGATTTCAACACGTACCCCTCGAGTGGAACGCTTTTTCAGAGATTATGCCTTAAAAGACATAATATACGTATATACACACACTGAGCAGACAACTCAAAGGCAGGTACCCTAAGTGACAGACATGATAACTGTCTTTCACTGCAGGTCACTGCAAGGAGTGATCTTTTTTCTCTGTGTCTTTGGTGGAAACAACAAGGAGTCAGAGGCTTGAACTGAAATGAAAGCTGTTTAGGATAGGCATTTTGAAAAGCCCTTTCTAACTTTAAGGAAAATGTAGACGTGTAGTAGATTGCCTAGAAAACTATGGAGCCTGTGCCACGGATATCTTTAAGGACACACCACATAGGTGTCTGTCAGGAATGACCACAGTGCCGGTCCATCATGGAGGGATGGACTGCCTAATCCCCTCAGGTGGATGGAAGTGGGCATCATGGTAGATTTAAGCATCTTTTCTATTTCCTCACCAGAAAACAGGTCAGAGAAGACCCCTGTACAGGCCCTAACTCTACAGGCCTGCCCAAGGCTCGTCTGTGTCAAGTGCTCCATGTAGCTTTGTATCTGCTCAGCAGTATGTGTAGCCCTCCCCCACTACTCCCTCCACCCTCCATGGCTCCTGTGCACCCAAATTTGCAGGTGGTCATCCAGAGAGAGCCCAAAGCTGTCCTTCCCTGTGCCGCAGCGGCGATGGACCTGCTCTCCCACCATCAGGAGGGGAAGGCTGGGGTACCTATTCTGGGTGGATGCTGCTCAGGCCTTTGGCAAGAGGAGCTGGTCAGAAAATAAAACACTTCCTTCCATCCCTTGTATGTACTGGAAGACGAGGCGGTACGTTAGGAGTATCCCTACATATCTGCCCTGTTCTTATGCTCTTGTCCAGGCATCTGCACTTGTCCGCAGCCGGAGACAGGGATTTGATCCAGGGAGTTGACAGTGCCTTCAAGCAAGGCCAGGAGCATCTTACCAGGTAGCTGTGCCATGCTACCCCACCCAGACTGAGGTATGGTCTTATGTGCTACAGGGGTGGCAGTGAACACCATGGGCTGCCTCCCCACATGCCGACATGCAGCTACCTGCAGCGCCTGCACACCCATCCCACCACCACGGTGGAGGAGACAGCATGGCCAGACTCAGTGCTCCACGGGCAGCAACGGCTCATCAGCGAACGCAGCAGCTCTTCTCTACCCGCCCCGCTCGCTGGGAAGATCCCCCTTGGCGGATCCCGTCTGTGGGGCGCCTGCTGAAAGCGGGAAGGGAAGCAATCCTGCGTGCAGGCTGCTGAGCTCCTGCAAACCTCCAGTCCCTCAAAGCCAAGGGGCGAGCTCGGTGCCATGCTGGCTCTCCATGGCGGAGGACATGCAGGGGCAGGCCTGCACCCCTGCTGCGCGTGGCACCAAAGACGGGCAGCCATGTAACTTGTGCTGGTGGGAATGCAGCGGAGGGGGAGAAGAGAGTTACCACGACTGGCTGTTCCTCCTCGGCCGATAACTACCGAATACTCAGAAACCCTTCAGCCCGAGCTTGCCTCCCATGTGACTGGGGACAGGGACAGGATCTGCACCGCACTCCCGCTGGGCATGGCACCATTCCCCTGGCCATCACCCACCGTGCTCGGGGTGAGGAGGAGACTCCCCCCCAAGCAGAATCTGTGTAGAGATGTCTAGGGGGGCTGTAGGGCCTCAGTCCCCCAGGAGGGAGCTGGGCACCCGCACTGGGTGGCAGACAGATGGGTTGTCTTTGATGCATGCAGCGGCCACGCAGAAAGGCTCTCCTGCAGCCCACATCTCCAGGGGGACTGGAGCCAGACTTGCCATACAGATCCCTTTTCTGGAGCTATGAGTCAAGGGTCTCAACTCCTCCATAATCCTCAAGCACTCCCCTCCCACTCCATCAGCTTTGCAGGTGAAGGGTACAAAACTTACAAAAAGCTGCACATCTACCAGGATCACTGGCACAGGACAGTGGTGGGTGCGAGTGGCAGGGAGTGGGGATCCTGGAGGGTCTCCCAGAGGGATGCAGCCTGCACCCCGACTCACAGTATCGCCATCAAGGCCTGGCATGCAGCTGATAAGGAGCTTCCAGTTTGGTTTCCTCTAAAGCGATGCCCGTTCACACATACCGAAACTACTCTGTGCGTTGGACCAATGCGTGGCAAAACAGAGGCAAGCAGTTCATTTTAAAACCCCTCTACAGCTCCAGAATGAATTGGTAGCGTAGACGCAGCCTTAACGCACAAATGTCAGGTGAGATTCTCTTTTATTCCTTTGAATCTTGTTTCCTGTCGTACTTTTGCTTTTTCTTTCTGTGAATTCCTCACAGCAAAACACGTTAAGCAAGATGGTAGCAGGGATAATATGAAACTTACCTGTACTGTTTGGAGCAGGCTGTCAGAAGCCATTAAACATTACCATTAACAGTGAAGACAAATATCAACATGATCTCCAGACAAACTGCTTTTATTGCAGAGATATCCATTACTTTTATGGCAGGTTTTTGGCAATTTTAGAGTATATTGATTTAGTGCATCTTCTACTTTTTCCTTTACATGCACATTACGCATTTTAACTACACTAAAATAAAATTACGGTTGTAAAGTGAGGCATTCAAAAGTTAAGGAATATAAAATTTAAATTCACCTAGGCGAATTTAATTCAATCCCCTTGTTAATCTATTAAAAAGACAGTTATTCTGTCTTCTGCATCTTCTTCCTTCAATGTGTTTTTTAGTGAAAATCATCAAATTGCTGCCATTAATACATAATTATGCATAACAATCCTTTAAGCAAGGATTTGCAGGGACTTTGGAAAATCTCAGTCGGCACTAAGCTGCTCTGTCAGTACTAAATGTACACGTCATATATATTTAGTAACCTGAGCTCTTCATTAACATAATCTTTTTCTGCCGGGAGGAAAGAAAGAAATCTCTGTTGAGATACCGAAACTGTATATTTCACTGTCTGTTTGTCTAAATAGCTCTCCATTTCTAGAAGTTTTTTCAGGCTAGCTGCTGTTAATCAATAACCAAATATTTGAGGATGTTTGCTTCAGGTATGGGATATTGAGACAGAGCTGGAAAAGGGCTGAAAGGGTGACGAGCCATGCATAATTTTCTACTTTTAGTTAAATCATTAATGTTTATTACCTGCATTGCTGACATTTCTAAAAATATCACTCGTATTCCAACGTCAGCGTGACATTAGAAAAAAGAATTTTTAGATAAACTTCATGTTAGTGAAATGTCATAAGGTCAAAAGAGATATGGAGGAAAAAAACATTTCCCTTCATGTTATGGATTGGCCAAAACAATGAAGTTCTGTTACTTGCATATTTTCTTATTAAGTTCTTTCAGTCTCCCCGAAAATAAGTAAAAACCTGCATCTTAGCTGGTAATCCAAGATGTACATCGAGCTGCTTGGTATATTAAAACGGCGTCGCAGGCTACTTGAGATGGGGAGTGCCTGTTCCTTCCTTTGCTATTCATCCGCTCACTCGTCTTCTTTTCCCAGCAGCCAGGTTGGCTCACCCCTGGAAATCTTCAGCCTCTTGTTATGGCAACCAGCTGCCAGCTCCAGCATCCACCGCTGTCCCCAGAAAACAAGTCCTTAGCCGAATTCAGCTGTTTTTCTGAACATCTTGCTGCTGGCTGAAGACTTCCATCTTTACCTCCTCAGATCACGGGGCTTCAAAAGATAAACTCCCTGTCGGTTCCCGACCTGTTCTCTTCCTTCTTCCCCTCCATTACAAGATACTACGTTTGCACTAAAACCAGACTTTTGACTAACTTCTGAACTTCTTCTCGTTTTATCTCAGTAAAATCCTCTTAGACCTAGAAAAAAGTCAAATTGTTTGTACTTTATGAAAATGTATTTGGGTAACTTTCAGTAAAATGTTAACTTTTTAAGGAGTTTCATGGATCTTTGGACGCAGCTTATGTTGCATGCAACTAGTTCAAAGGGAGGGTTTATAAAGTTATATATAGTGTGTGAAGAAAGATGACTCTTCTCCTCGTTAAAAAGTGCTTTTGCCGTAACAACAGTCCTTATAAAGTAACTGCATTTTGATGCTTTTTCTTCTCTCGGGAAAACCACTCCTTCGCTTGCTCTGTCCACATCTGCACAGAGCCAGAAATTACACTGGAAATAAAACATTTAGTAGCCGTTTTACTTCTGTTCCTGGGTTTTTTTGCCTCTCAGACTGGCAGACCTGGGAATGCTGGGAAGACATTATGATCAGTCATTTATGGGGAAAAAAACCACCTCATCTTTCACTAGTTATCTTCCTAGTTGGTTAAAATGCAGCAATTCCACAGCTTCCCATCCACTCTTCCTTCGCCAGAACACCGCTGGTAGGCAATGCAGGGCCTAGGTTGGTAGAAAACCGAAATGAGAAAGCCACGAGGAATGGAAGAGGATGGAGGATGCTGCGCAATTTTAAATTAAGTAAGATCTTGTCTCCTTAGCAAAACCATTTACAAACATGCCAGTAACGACCAAGGGTTAGAACGCGATGGGGTTTTGGGGGGTTGGGGTTTTTTATCCCCCTATTCTAACGGGTGTCCCATCGCTTCCGAGTGAAGAGCGGCCAGCTTCAGAAGGCCTGCGGGGAGCCCGCCGCCATCCCAGGTGGCACAGGGGCTCCACAGTGAAGCAACCCACGCCAAGCCCGGCCTCTGACCGCTACCAGCATGCCGCAGCGCCGGGCTGACGTTATTCAGCCTGCTGACGGCTGGGGAATTCGCTTTTTCCCGAGTGCCGGAGGTGCTCGTGGGCGGGTGGAGGACAAGCACCCTTGCCCAGGTACGGCCTCTTACTGCGGCATCGGCGGCAGGATAAACGTCAAATTTGCCTTTAAGGAAGACGCGTCTCGCACGCGGCCGGCTCTCTGTGGGCGGCTTCGGGAGGAGGAACGCGGGCCAGGGCCCGCTGCCCTCCCGCTTTCCCCCCGCC